TGAGAAAAACCAATTTTTACCCCATAAAACCCCCCGTAAAGCCCTGTTCCCATGGTCCGATCGTGCTGGTTCGCGAACTCATTCAAGTTTATCCCGCTTTACACCTTTAAACCAAATTTCATCAAAATCGGGCAAAAATTACTCAAGTTATCGCGTTCACGGACGTATATATATATATATACTAGCTGACCCGGCGAACTTCGTATCGCCTAAGTTATAGGTTTCCCCTAAGACAGACCGATGGAAAGAAAGTACCGTTACGTTTAATTTTCAAGATGATCTCGTTCGCATCGCTCAATCACATCCTGGTTGAAGTTCGTTCGCTACGCTCACTCACCTTTGGGTTGGAACTCGTTCGCTGCGCTCACTTGCCTTTAGGTTGGAGCTCGTTCGCTACGCTAACTCGCCTCCAGGTTAGCTCGTTCGCTACGCTCACTCGCCTCCAGGTTGAAGTTCGTTCGCTACGCTCACTCACCTTTTGGTTGCAAATTAGCTGTTGTCATAAATGTAAAAGAAATAATAGTGCTGCACCCTGTTTGTAATCCTTGTAACTTTAATGCTATTGAACATCATAGAACAGAACCAACTTGTTTAATTGAAACAGCTGTTAAGATTCATTAATTCCATTTCTCATAAGGTTAACATGGGAAACTCAAGAGCCACTGGGGCGGAGCCCTTTTAAGAATTTCGAAACGGGAAATAGTTTACGTCCGATTCGCATACCTACAGAATTTACACACCAAATTTCATTACGATCGGTGAAGTCGTTCCGGAGGAGTTTGCAGACAAACACTGTGACACAAGAATTATATATATGATATATATATATATAAATATAAGTCTATATATATATAAAAAAAATTAAACGAATGGTGTTTTTAGCCTCTGGGGACATCAAAATGAAAAAGTAAATCGGTCCCGGGTGTAGGTCTTACCGTGCCACCTACGGTAATAGCTACTTCCCTATACGGAAATTCGCTAAAATCGGTCAAACCCGTTTTTTAGAAATCCAATTTTCTATGATTGGGTTTTGACGGAAAAACCACTAAAGCTGCAATAACTTTTTAAGCCTAATTTTTACACAATGGGATTAGATTCTAACCATTTTGTTAAGAGTAAAAAGGGCTATAACATATAACATTTTAATTTTAATTATTGTTTGAGTAGTTTTTTTATCAAATCTTTCCATTAAATTTGGGTTTTATGGACAAATCACAATTAAAATCAAATATTTAAGAAAATACCTGGAGATACCATGGATTAGTACCTAACCTAACCAGGCCACAGGCGTAGTATGTATCTCTGTAAACATCCACTCGGACATCAATTCGAAAACCACTCTTTTTTGGACTAAGGGTCCAAAACATTTCCACCAAAACCTCAAACTATAGTTCCCTACCCTCTAAAGCACAAACTGTTTAAGGGGGTGGGGGTAGCTTCAGGTCTCTATCTGAACCTTTGAGTAGTCAATGATCTGAACTCAGTGCGAAATGATGGTAATTAATAAATGCATCAAAAAACACATGGGTTCTCCCAAGATAATAAACGGTACCAGCAAATTGACACATACTTTCTCCCATTATCGTGTTATCAAATTTGAACATTCTACTACATTTTTTTATGAAACTTTATTGGTTGATGGGAGAAAATCACAAAAATTTTGAACCACAATATTTCTAGCATTTGTCTTGTGCAATTTTGTTCATGGTTAAATAAACTATTTTCAATAAAAATTGTTACAGCCTTGCCGTCTGTAATAATCAGATATTTCTGTTATTTTATAGGAAAATCGCTAATGGAAATCAACATAAAAATTAAATTTAAAATACCCCCGCCGCAGCAATCCTGCAGACTAAGCAAATTTCCACTTGTCTGATAAAATTTTGAGTTTTGAGACCTAATTCCCTATATGGGAAATTCGCTAAAAAATTAAGACATCTGGAGATAACAACATATTAGTACCATACAGATTAAACATACACTCCCGTGGATATTTCTCATCTTTATGGAACAGCTCTGAAGACAATTTTAATGTTAGTTCTGTAGGTGTGTACTGAAGAGTTTGCGTTTTGTTTATTATTTGTTTCTTGTTATTTCAGTCAATTAAACCGTGTTTAACCAAATAATACGATCTAATCATAGACAATAACTTGCCCCCTAGATATATAACCCAAGAGTGAAGCACAAATCCAGAAATAAACCCTAAAATAGAAACAAAATTTCGTGGACACTAGCCCCCAGTGTCACCCACCGTACATGATCTATACACAAAAAACAAGCTTCAAAATTTACAATGGGATTAGAACTCTACTTGTGTTGCTTAGTCTATGTTAGTACCTACCTAGATTCCAGATTTCACCTAAATTGCACCACGGGTTTAGTCTGTTGCTCTACACATCAACATCCGACAACCACTTTTTTTGTATCCAGGGGAGCCCAAAAAGGGCTATCCACTCAAAACTTAACTGAGATTTTACAAAAAACAGTACTTACCGTTTATAATAAGTATAGGAATAAGTAAAAATTTTAAATTATTGCCATTTTGTACAGGGTTGACTTGAAGACCCCTGGTTTTTAGCTGATTTTCTTCTTCAAAATCGTAAAACCCTCATTTTGGGGTCCCCGACATGACTATTTTCATACCAACCAATAAGTGCACTTTGATTCATATAAAGGTATGTAAAGTTACGTTTTCCTGGTGTAGCAAATTGAAAAGTTTTGGGGGTATCCATACTTTAACCTAAACCTGTAGTTCCTATATGTGTACTGTATTCGTGAAAACAAAAACTTGGGCAATTGTGGTCATATTTTGATTAAATTAAACATAAGTTTGGATGAGCATGAAAAGGTTTACGAACCAGCAAGATTGGGTAATGAAAAGGTGTATGGGTTTTAAACATTTTTTACAAAAATTGTTACTTGAAATTTGACCCTAAAACATAAAAATGGCAGCCTCGTATAGAGCTAGAAAACTCAGAGTTTGGTATACTGAATGAATCACTGTTCTACTCTTCATGTGTATAGAGAAAATTCAAAAAAAAACTACAGTAGCTATATATTTTAAATTCCCACTCTATTCTTAGAGAGATCATAAAAAATGATTTTGATCAAATATTATTGCATAGGGCCTATCAAACAAAATTTTTTTGTAAACAATTACTCACCTGCCTACTTCATTCAGTAAATTATGTTTTATGAAAGTATTAGTGGGTCACAGATGTTTTTGGATAGGATCTTGTTAACACACAAGTTTGAGATTTAGCCGGATTGTGGGAGATTTTAATGATTTTACTGCTACATGGGGAAGATCATTTACACTAATATATATATAGCCCCAGTGCTTGATTTGATATTAGCATAAATAGGTACTTGTCACATTAAGTTAGATTAGGTCTACAGTTCCGGCAACTCATTTTTTACAAATCAAACACTGTATAAACCTATTGTGTTATTACAATTTACAATGATCTTAAAAATCGATAGTGACCTCCAAAGAAACCCTATTTTGGCCTCACACAATTTTGGTTCGAGATTCAAATTTTCAACCCCACCTGACCTGAAGTAAATTAAGTCTGGGCCCAGCCCCTAGTTTTGAGATTGAAAATCTGGAGTGCAGCGTTACAAATTAAAAACAAGTGTGGAAAAGTTAAAGGAAGTATTGCTGGCTTACTCAATTACATAACACAAGTTTTTAATTTAAAGCATTGTCATTTAGAGATGTTTTGAATTACTCTTAGTGTAGTGTAACAAAAATGCCAATAAAAGCGCAAACACCATTACTGCAATTTATTAGGACTAGGGTAAATGTGTTACTTAAAAATCCATCATAGAAATTTGACACTATAAATTTTTGTTATTTTGGTACCTGTGAGGGCCTTTTAGAGAAATAATGTTCTTTTTGGCAATGACTAACAACCCTAAAATAAGATGTTTGGTAGGGCATGTGTACAAATTTAGTACTATATAAACTAGCTGTTACCCACGGGCTCCACCCCGTTTACTACATAAGTATTAATAAAACTATTGATTGGTTAAGTTAAGCTGAAATAAACAAAGCAGAATACAGTAATGGTAATACAAACAAATAATAACAGCTGAGGTATTTTTAACATTAGGTAAATGGAAAGTTTCCTTTGGAAAGCAATTACGACCTTATAGGGCAATTTATGAAATAATGGATAATTTTGCGCAAGGTTTCTCGTCATGACGAACATTTTAAGTATATGGTTTATGGGGGTGTGACTTGTAGTTTTCTCAAAAGTTCATGGGTACTTTTGGCTTTATATATAGATTAGTAAATAGTGCTGTCAGATTAAAATAATAAATCATCTGAACACCGAAGAGAAAATGAAAACACAATGATTATTTTTTAATTTTATTACAATGTTGTATTTATTTAGTAACAACAACTCCTGACACACTTTCAGTATAATTATTGTTATATATTACAAAAACCCTATCCTTAACCTATATGGAAATCATAAGTATCGTAAAATATGCAACTGTCTATTAAATTAAGAGGTTTTCTAGATACACATGCTACTTAAGTATATTTTAAAATACAAATAAGATACCAAGTTAATACGAAACAATATCTGAAATAGTTTATAAAGAATATCATACCAAGTGAAAAAAAAACTATCACAAGAATTCCTGTATTTTCACCTCCAACTTTAGACACGATGAAACCAAAGTGAACAATTAGGGAATCATCATGTCCCAATATCGAAAAGTAACATATTTAAATTCAAGCAGAAATTCCTTTATGGCAGTAGAAAAATAATTTAATTTCTTTAAAATACTTATTTTTACAATAAATGACATGATGCAAGATTCGATCGACTACAATTCTATTGATCCCAAACAAAAACAATTTTTGTAAGGCACCAGAGGGTTGTAGGTGAAGATACAAGGAACTGGAACTGTCGACTGTCACTGATGTTCAGGGTCACATTCATAGGCGAGACTCATATTGTAAAAAGTCTTTCCAACACAATAGATCAGTATCAAAATATATTTCGTAAAAACATTACAATGATAAAAAGTTGTAAACACGCACGAGAGTCTGGGTTATGTGCACAGCAGTATTCACCTCTCACATCAAGCAGCCCTAAATAATAAATAAGTCGAACCAACCACCCTGGATTTGTTTGTTTCAGTGTAAATGTCGGATGAGACACATCTGGAAGAATGGATCTGTGATGTGTTGATGTCCTGCATCAGTACTTGAAATTTACGTTCTATGACCTGCAACTGAGCACACAAGTTTGTTAACATAACCAATACAACCTGTTGGGGACTGTGAAATTGGAGGACATTGATAGTGGTTCAAGCATTTCTAGTAATATTTGTTGATTTTACCGTTTGGTGTACATTTTAATAAGTAAAAACATAATTATATAAAAAATAAAAATTAATTACTCTACTACAGTACAATAACAATAATATAGAACCCTAGTAAATACATTGTATGGTACTTTAATTACATTCAAATTTAAATTCTAAAAAAAGGTACACATAAAGGAAAACAACGCGAACAGCGCTGGTCGAATGTTTTTAGAAAGCGTAGTCCGACCAATGCCACGGAAACTTTGGCTGTGGTGGGAGATTGGTACCACTCCCGCACACACAGCTCGCAAACAAGTCGTACGCTTACAGTACTTAACACTTCTTTAAATCATTATTCATTTAACAAACTCAATTTCTTGTCAATATTTTAATTTAAAAAATCTGAAAAGTTAAAATCCTTTAACATCACACCAGGTGTATTCACTTGTGCGGTAATAGGCCTACTGTATGTTTTAATAACTTATTGGAAAACAAACCAAGTAATAGTTACTATTTTCTTACCTTGTATACATGCATTATATTGTTAATTTAGTCTTCTTCTTCACCAGACTCGGATTCTGAAATAGAAAATAATAATTTAAATAGAAAAAAAGTAATTGATTTTGTAAACTCTTAACATAATAGTGTATATATTCATCAACAACTAAATCCCCTGTCATTTGCAAAATGAGGAAACAATTTTAATAAGTCCATCTAAGGGTGTTAATATTACAAAATGCAGATTAAGTTAGATATTAAGAGCCAAACTTAATTCGAAAACATTTTTTTACCAACACAATCTGCCAACTCTTCTGTGCACAATACTAAAGTCTGTTCACAATTTCAGGTTTGAGGGGAAGTTTTATCGAGTTCCCCACCACTTTTTCAGGAATATTTTCAGGAATATTATGTATGTAACTAACAGCTGATTGACGGGTTGAGCTTATGAACAGCTGTCCAGCTGTTGTTTCAAAGGCAGGTTAAAGTGGAGGGAATAGAATATTGTTTCCCTACAACCGCCCAAACTTTGTGAACAAAGTATAATCATTACCATTAAGGTATCATTGTGGTAAGGTTTGATTTTTGACCCCTTGCTCACTGATACAGTAATTAGGCTACATAAAATTTGAAAGGATGACAATGGTATATGGAATTTTGTTGTGGTTTTAAATAGATCAAATAAATCACTTGAGTAGAAACTTACCTTCTTCGGCGCTCTGGAGCCACTCAACAAACTTCTTCATCTGGTCCAAAAACATCATTTTCCCCTTCACTGAGTGTCCATCCTTGTACCACTTCATTACTACTTCTTCAGAGATCACATTAGCTGAAAGAAGTTATACTATTATAAGAACAGATTAAAAAGTTGTTATAGTAACAAAGAATTCAAGTGGTATTTGGGACATCGCCCAATGGCATACTTTATAATGAACGGATTACTTTTTTATGCCACTTTAAAAGCTCTGAATAGTTTATTAATAGATTGAGTGCATGTTACTAACTGGCTTATCTGACATTTGCGACCCTGAAAGCAATCCTAGTTATTTACTTTTAGAGGTTTTGACTTAGTGTTGAGGATTTAACAGCTAACTGATGGTGGGTGCCCAAAATGAACTCCAAAGAAATGAAGAGAAGATGAGCTGCAACCAATGTGCAGGCATTTGCTCGCAACTATGTATATGAGCTAGGCCATTGATATAAAATCAATCTAGTAATAACCAGCAATGGACTGATGCACTAACTAGTGACACAAAAGTTAATATCGCCACAAGTATTGTACTGATCCACCATAATGTAAGTTATATAAAACTTACTTTTATAATAAAGGAGTATTATTTTCTGGAAGATCTTCATGAAATTCATGTTTTCGTAACAATATTCCTGTATCTTGAGCATGAGGGCCATTTCAGACTTGGTTGTACTGGTGAACGCAGCAAACAGAGGAGTATACTTTTGCAAATGTTTCAAAGCCTGTTCTGCAACCAACTCCTCCTTCTTGTTCCATTCGGCAAGGTTCATCACAGTTGTCCACACCTGAAAAAATATATTTTGGTCAACATTACTGTTAGCAGCAACTAAACTGCCAGATAATTAATTCAACGGTTTGAGAGTCCCTTCTCAAACACAAAAAAATTTACTAAAGAAAAGTTTAGATTTCAGCTTTGGTATTTGTATTTCATCTATTTGAACTTGGTGTCGCTTGTTAGGAAATTGTAAATAGCAAATAATAATTCATAAATTCAGCTGTTCCCCAAGTAATTTAGGTTATAAAAGTTCAGTTAATCTAATTGAGCAACCATAAGTTTTAGCTGCAACAAAATTTGAAGTTTTCATTTCTTGTTTGAAGGCATACTGACTAAATAATTATTATTTTCTTTGAAAAATTACTAAGCCAAACGTTTGCCATTTTTTAAACGATATCAGAAGCTAGGCCTCCATATGGCTTTCTACAATATTAATTGCATTTTTTTTTTTATCACATCAACATTCAGACTGGAGTCGGAGACTCTGATGCTTTTATTGTTAGATGGTGTATTACATAGTTTACAAGTACTTACATTAGAAACACCGGTTTATTTCTTTGATGTGCTAGTTATTTAAGTTATTTTAATAACTTAACAACAGTGTTTATCAATAAGATACAAAATTAAATGAGGAAATAGTGTAGGTATAGCATTCTCACCTAAAACTCGCTTCTCCCATCATCTATATTTACTCAAACCGAATAATTATTGTCTTTAGTCTTATATTTTTTTACAAATCTAAGTTCATATTCGTGAAAATGTTTCACGCAAACACGAGAATTGTTTTAAGGTGTCTAATTTAACCAAAGAATAGCAGGAAGCCATTGTTTGCTTACACGGCGGATCACTTAGAATCTTAAAACATTGTATGTATCATTACGTTTTAATTGAACTTTTGTAATTAATTACTCTTGTACCCAGGCACAACATATCTATCTGGCATGCTGTAGTAACAAGTTCAATGTAATTAATTATGATTAAAGGTAATAGAAGCGCACATAAGAAAGTCGGTACGCAACTCTTCCATTTACTGTAATGGTAAGATGATCGCGCGCAAGACTCAGATGCGACGTTGCCAGTTTTCGCTCGCCGGGGCCTTGTGTACTAGAGAAGGCTATGGTAGCGTATAATAGGATTGCAAAATAAATGCATCTTTGAATAGCTGTCATTTTTGACTCAGTCGTTTTTTTGAGTTCGGATTTGCTGCATTGTATTTAACTAACAAAGACCTTTAATTTGATGTGCATATCATCCTATGCTTACATATTTAAGATTTTCTTCCAACTCCTAGTGGGCCATCCCCCTGAAAAGGTACCGCATCACTGAACAATGTGTTAAAATGATTTTAATGCCCAATAACTGTATAGGCCTATCAAGTTTTGAAGCTCTATCTTTATTACTTTTCAAAATATTTTAACGTCCCGGGACTTTTTTTCCACCCTGTATAAATATTATACATATACCACCATCTACTGATTGTTAGCACTATCACCTACCAGAGTGATGACTTCCTGTTCTGGGATAACATGTTTTTGAGCAATGTCACGCACGTCTGCAATGATATCTTTTACTGCTTTCCCGTCTCCAAGCTCATCCTCCAGATGTTGCTGCAAGTCCCTCTTGGCTTCCTGACATGCCTAAACAGAAAAACAATTCTTTCATTCTCTGACCATTTTCTTTGGGCCAAAATCCAATAAAAAAAGTAGGCTATGTCCTCTCTATACTAGCGTATAAAGAAGCTAAGCAGGTGTTGTGTTTGCAATTCCTATTTAACTGACCAAACTATTCTCAACTTCTACCCAAGTTGGAAACGGTTTTTGTAAGGTAAGCCCTCTTATAGGCTGAGTGACACATTAGTAGTCTTAAAACTTAATATAGATTGCAAATTTAAGTGAATTGAAACCCACACTCGTGGAACAACACTCTGTCAGTGCAACACGTTAGTCAACTCAGTTATAATGCCTCTGTAGGCCAGACGGGACAGATGCTGCTAATCAATGTGACACTTGTAAGCGAGGTTCAACTAATTACTTGAAGTGCCAGTGGATTAGCAAGTTGACCAAACAAAGTAGGGTTTACCAAAGCATATTATGGGGTTGTAATCATACAAAATATGTTGTCCATCAGGCAAAAGGAGAGACAAAATAAAAATGTAATAGGTTTCATGATAAGCTTTCTTGAGTTGTTTCTTTAGTATTCAGATGAGGATCTTTCTTTTAATTTTAAATTATATGGAGTAAAATCTAATGAAATTCATTTGAAAACATTCTAAATTACAGATGTAAAAAAATATTTTTTATTTTTATTCATTTAGCTGTCTGTACATATTATACATATTATAGGCCGTCTGGGAATGCTTAAGATCCATAAAGAATAAGGATTATAAATTTGATTTTTCTAATTGTAAGTTTGAAAGTTTAAGTTGTAGGATTTGACTATCGCTAGTTAGTTATTAAACTTACTTGAGCCATATGCAGTTTGACTACTTCTGCCAAACCTTTCTCTTCAAAGGCTGTTCGGAAGTAATCCTCAGTACGTTTGTTGGGTGGTACAAACTCCATCAGCCTAGTAACATCAAAAGTATTAGTGGAGTTAGCAATGTATACCAATATCCATTTGTCACATTACTCCAATATCTATTTCTGACTTGGTTTTTTATATTTTTGTTCATCTGTCCAGCCATATTATATGAATGTAGATTAAATTCTTTCTGATTGTGATTTAAAAAGGATTGAATGTATTTAAGTAGGCTTAGTCTTAATTTCTGAGGTGTTGCCTTCCAGATTACATAACAATTACTAATCTAGAGGTTAAATACCTTGTTGCCAACGTAATCTTTGGTAGACTTAATTAATGGCTACCGGTTTCAACACACTTATGGTGTCATTGTCAAGACTAGACGTGGTTGTCGCTCCTAGGAGGTCGTCACAAAGTCTTCAAAAACACACAACGAGACGAATAAATAACAAAAACGAACAGGGAAAAACATTTTAACGAATAATACTGTATGGCCATACAACTCTCGGCACGGCCGCAGGTTCAGGGTGTAGGTTTGGACTATCAATACAACTTAACTTCAGTATCCAATAGTCAATGGTGTAGGTCTAGACTGTCCGTCGCCTTGTCCTTCCCCTCCCCTCCTATCCTTCGCATTGTTGTTATCAGTGCCATTGTCTTCTGATAAGTTTTGTATGAATGAGGCTGCTTCATAGATAATGTTCGACTCAAACCATGTTTTTTCACTCAATATGAATCGAAGAATATGAGATAGGCCTATTCAAAGCCAACAAGAAACATCCCCAACACATCCTTAATGAAAAAACATTGTTTGAGTCGAACATTATCTACGAAGCAGCCTCATTCATACAAAACTTATCAGAAGACAATGGCAACAATACGAAGGATAGGAGGGGAGGGGAAGGACACACGACGGTCAGTCTAGACTACACCCTGAACCCGCAGCCTCGCCGAGAGTTGTATGGCCATACAGTATTATTTGTTAAAATGTTTGGTCCTGTTCATTTTTGTTATTTATTCGTCTCGTTATGTTTTTTGAAGACTTTATGACGACCTCCTAGGAGCAACAACCACGTATAGGCTTGACAATGACACCATAAGTGTGTTAAAACCGGTAGCCATTAAGTCTACCAAGGATTACGTTGGCAACAAGGTATTTAACCTCTAGATTAGTAATTGTTAAGTAATTGGGTAACAGTAAATCATTATGAATTTGAATTATGGTAAGCTATCAAGGTATTCAAACATAACTTTTTATGATCAGATATTACATGATAACATTTTTATGATTTGAGTTTAAATAATTCTTGCAATAATAATCCTATTTTAACTAAATTTTGTGGGTAGTCTATCGTAACAGTTTTTATACAGGAGGATTAAACTTTAATATAAACACAAAACTTGAACCTATTTGGCATTTTTCAACTATTTTAGTATTTGATGATAAAAACTTTACTATTGGATTTTTCTGTTGAATTTCATGGACCAATGTATTTAAATGCATTGATAGTGAATGCAATTAAGTAGTATCCCAAAATGTGTTCACTAAGAGTAACACGATAACGTTGCTTGGGCCTACCTTCCTTCCAAACCACCTCTCTTGAGGGCAGTTAGCAAACTCTGGAGCCCTTTCTCTTGCTTCCATGTTACGAATACTTCAATGAGGAAATCAAGAGCAATGCTATCTTTGACAAGATGTTCGTTGATTAATACCTAAAATACAAATAAATTTAGGTTAAATTATGTAATACTTACATCATAAAGGAGATCTACAAGACATGAACATTTATATACCTAATTGTGTTTATTAATCCTAGCAGAGAAAATACTTTACTGCCAAAACATGTATTGGGAAATATTGTGTTGTAGTAGTTTACGCAACGATTGTGTAAAGATAGTGTTATCGACACAAGTAGAAAATTTTAGGTACAAGCGTTGGCGAGTGCCATTGGTTCATTGCCCGTGTTCTTATGAGTAAAGCTATGGTTCCACAGGATGCGGAATCTCTGCCATGCAGTGCGTAATTTTTTGCAGCGGAAAATTACGCAGCGAAAAATCAGAGGGGTGGTTCTACAGACTGCGAAAATAACGTTGCGGAGATTCAGTTCTGTCCAAACTAGCGACGAGTATGGATAGAAAGAGGAAAGCCCTTTTGGCTTTTTGATGCTATATGATGACATTGATAATGATGTTGTCGATCTTTTATCTTTGTTAGTGAGAAGTCGCAGTGACCGAAGTGACATATTTAAGAATCGGGACAGTGAAGGGGCGTATAACATTCTGGTTCGTAATCATTTAGTTGACAACGAAACTAAGTTTAAGCGGTACTTCGGTGTGTCAAAAGACCAATTTTTCTTTACGGTTGATCTCATCAAAGATGACTTAAGTTACCCACCAACGCTACTAATCGAGACAAACAACCATTGAATGCCGAGATGAAACTAGCGGTAAGGGGTTTCAACCACGATCAGATCCCGTTCAACACTTGATACCCAAACATCTGCACGATCACAATATTTGGATGGCTCTTCTCCGCTGGCGGAATCCGCACTGCTACTGCTCTCAGACCAGTATGATTTCTCCGCCATGCGGAACGGAAATTTCGGGATGCGGAATCGCAAGTCAGTGGAACCGCACACATGGGAACTCCATTAAACCAGTGTCGTTTTAATTCCGCAGCGGAAAAAATCGCACCGCATGGCAGAGATTCCGCATCCTATGGAACCAGGCCTTAAAACTATGCTGTTACGAATGTAAAGAATGGCCACTTTAAAAAAACGGTAGTAGGCCTAGGTAAAATAAATTCTTTGATTGATTGAATAAATTTGAGCCGCACATGTGTAATAAGAGTTCAAAATTGGTCTTATGCTGATATAGTGTGATAAGGAAAGGTAGGAAATATTTCAAAATCATTGGATTAAGAATAAAAGGGTAATGAAAAATGCATGGCTCATTTCGGCTCAAATTATGGTTCATGACACTTAGAGAGAAATCACGGACACAGTTCTGTCTTTCAAAGTGAACTAAGCCCAGTACCAAATATTTATTGTTTTATTACCTTTACACGGATGGTGGGAAATATTAAAATAATAATTAAAATAACTATTGGTAAGGTTAGGTATTTCCCGCTATTATTTAAATTGAAATTTTGTAAATATTTTTTTAGAAAAGACTGAGATTATAGCAAACTGAATAAAACAATTATACCAGCCATGTCTTACAACGAAATACTGTAGTAATAAAATATTTTCACCTGCAGAACTGATGGGGGAACTGAACCGTTGGAGATCCATAAGGCAGTCATACGAGCTAATTTGATACGTTCCTGCTCATTAAACCCTTTGATAAAAACTAGAATCTTTTTCATCTCATCCTCGAACATTTTTTCCAAGTACTTGTAACGGCGCATGAGCTTGATGAAAACCTGTTCATAGCTCCGCATTGACGCCATGTCAGCAGGTGCCTCGAAGACACAAGCTTTGGTCTTACACAACTTGTCTCCATCTTGAGCTATCGACCCTCCAGGCACTAGACGAGAAACACAATGAATTAAAATCCATGTAGTTAAATAAATAAAATAAATAAATGTAGCCAACAAGACTACACTAATGTAGATTACTGATTTCTGATGAATAAACTTTTAAACCAAACCGATTAATGTTTTGAGTTGATTAAACTAAAGTTTCACGGACTTATTTTAAACTATAACAGTTGTTATGAGATTTTAAAGTAGGTAGCCTAATGTAGAGTTCTAGATGACACATTCAAAGGGTTATGGAGTACAGTTTAGACTTACATTGATTGACTTTCAAGCATTTCAAGAAGCTCTGTCAACGTTAATTTTAACAGGTTCAACAGATAGTTTTAACACAATATATTTCACAGATTCAAACCCCTTATCCTAGTTAAATTATCACAAATAGTGGCTGCCATTTATTAAAGTAAAAATGTATTTGAAATGGTGTAAAATAAAAAGTAATTTAGTAATATGCTGTAAAATTAACCCTATAAGTCACATTAAGCACTGCTTTATTAAATTATTATTTATTTATTATTAAATAAGACTTAGTATACTTAGATCTTTATACATTGTAGGCCTAAATATTAGTTTCACTTACCTAGAAGTCCACCTGCAATGAGGATGTCGAACAGAGGTTCACCATAACGCCTGTAGTCGAGTTTAGAACCCGCTGAATCTAAGAATTTTGAAATGGCCTCTAAGTCAGTTCCAGCCTTGTCCAGTCCTTGTATAATAGAATCTCGAAAGCCTGTTGGATCGTATTTTTCTTTTTCATCTGAAATTAAGGAATAAACTGTTCAATACAACATGAAAATTATTCACTTGTAAAAACTACATTTTTAATATATATTTGTGTCTACCGGTAGGTACCAGGTTCCAGTAACATAACCTTAACAAGTAATGTGCACCAAAACCAGTTACAAATAGAGGGAATGGCGTAATTACTTTAAATTAATCTAGAGGTTAAAAGACCTTTAATCTGTCAATGTGATTAAATATCACCGATGAGCGGCGACCGGTTTCAGCCCAGCTGTGGGGCCATCTTCAGGCGATGAAGGAACATAAATTCACTCCGAAGAGGTCGTCATAAAGTCTATAAATACATCACGAGAAACAACACATAAATACATTTTTTTACAAATATACGTGTGGCCACAAATTAACTGCGCGGCGGACGGTACGCGTACATTAAGTTGCTAGTCCAGACTGTCGTCACTGCCATCTTGTCCATCTAGATGGACAAGACGGCAGCGACGACAGTCTGGACTAGCAACTTCCGCCGCGCAGTTAATTTGTGGCCACACGGGTATTTGTAAAAAATGTATTTATGTGTTGTTTCTCGTGACGTATTTATAGACTTTATGACGACCTCTTCGGAGTGAATGTGAATGTATGATGTGTTATGTTCCTTCATCGCCTGAAGATGGTCCCACAGCTGGGCTGAAACCGGTCGCCGCTCATCGGTGATATTTGATCACATTGACGGATTAAAGGTATTTTAACCTCTAGATTATTAAAGGTATTTTAACCTCTAGATTAATTTAAATTTGTGATCAGGAGGCAAAAAACAACAGAAATGTAACTAGGCCTACTTTAATTTTTAGTTACCACATTTCAGTATTTACAGTGGATAAATATAAACTTTGATTCTATGTCCCGAGAATAAAATGAAAAATTTTGAGTTTGTTCATCAACATTGTCTTTAAAACTTATAATAAGTATAAAATTCAGGTTTTGAGATAACAATAGCCTTCCAGTAATAATTATTGCATAGTTTAAAATTATTATGGACTTATGAGAATACTTGACTTCCTCCTCTATCTGTCCCATAACAAAAAAAAAACAATTTGTGGATTGTGGTAGACCTATTCTGGCAAAACTCATTAGGATCAATTTGAACAGGACACAACGGAGGAAAAACTTTAGACAAAATAAATTTTAATTATCCCTAAAAATATACGAGGGCTACCCAGAGAGTTACAGATGTTTCTCATAGGTGCTATATCCGCCATCTGAGTATCACATCGTTCCTTAACTCAGTGTGCATCAAGCCATGGGAGCATGCTCATCATATCTCTCGTACCGTATGCAATGTAGTGTTATAATGAGTAATCGGATGTCATTGCAATGTTGGGACAATTATAGTGGGCTATTTGTGAGGTGGGTGGGCTCTGTGATCAGATTTTTGTTGGCAAAAATTTACATGCCAATTGAAAGTTATTGCCAGATTTGGGATCTTAACGGCAAAGGATTGAAAATAGGAAGAGAGAAATCATGCATTGCTTTTTAAAATGGCTCAAAATTTGTCTCCATTTTTGTTATAGTCTCCCAGAAATGTCGGTGCTGCAGCACATCTCCATGTTTTGTGATCATCCGTTAAGGTCTTTGGAACCCAACTTATAAAAAATTGTGGTGATCAGGTTTTTGCACAATTATGAACCAAACTCTGAAAAATTTCAAGAAAATGGTCCACAAGTTCCATAATGTTCCATGACTTCGATAATTATTGTGAAACTGGGATTTTCACAGATTTTGTTGTTGACCTTTCCTATCAGACCAACAGCCACTAGACTAGGCCTAACACTGCGGTCATGATCGCCAACATTTGCTCAAGTTGTTAATGCTCAACCGTCTCACATAGCCTTCACTTATAAATCCTTTGCCATAGCCCATACTTCATAAACCTGATGAAAAGTACAAGTTATTGTACTATTAATTTTTAACCAACAAAAAAAATTGATTACAGAGCACACCTCACAACTGACAGGATTTGCAATGACAGTTCTAATTTTAGTATTCACATTTTAATATCACAAGGGATAAACGAAAACAGGGATAAATGAAACCACAGGTGAACAAAACCAATCAACAACTAAACCTTATTAAATCCAAAAAGAAACAGTGGTATAATTCATTTACATGTCACATAATTTTGACAAAAGTTGTGTAAATGAAATTACAAAAAGACTGGTAGAAAAAGGATGCAAGTTTCGTGGTGTTTCAGTCCAGGACGGAGCCGAAACATCACTGGACTGAGCCTGTTCTAGGACCATGTCCACATATATAAAATTAATACAAAATAGTCTAGGCCTATTCAAAGACAGCTTCACTGAACAGCTAGTATTATAAAATACAAATTAGGCTAAAAAATAAAAATATATAGAACTAAGATAGGCCTACTAGCCTAAGTTTGATTTATAAGTAGGCCTAGCCTACTTGTAAGTAGCCTGAGTTGTGAGTTGTGATACACAACAGGAAAAAAATAAATGAATTTCTTATGTCTTAAATAGAATAATAGAAATTTCTTATACGGTACCAATCCTATTTCTGTCTACATCTAACTTACCTCTTTTTCTGGTCTTGATGCGCTGACCTGACAGTACTGGCTTTTCTACTTTTTGACTCATACAATAACTGGCTGAAAATTAAAAAAAACTATAGTAAGTCATCAAAAAGTCAGTAAAAGATTTCTACAAAATTAAATCCAAAGCAAAATATTTCCTTGCATAGGTATGTATTTTTTTTTTTTTTGTTTTGCTAATGCCTCCGCAAGTACCATTTTTTGTATGATAGTGCTACCACAGAAAACATACTACTATAACCCAGAATGCCAACCGCATGGTAAAAAGCATTAAGTGTTTTGAGAGAGCTTTGCCTGTCAATTGGTAGACAGCGCCACTAGCGTTGCTATGCTGAGTGCATGGCAATGCTGGTGGCGCTGCCTACCAATTGACAGGCAAAGCTCTCTCAAAACACTTAATGCTTTTTACCATGCGGTTGGCATTCTGGGTTATAGTAGTATATTTTCTGTGGTGCTACCTACCTTGTTTGTTTCAAGATAGTTCTATTTTTGAGACGTGTTAGATGTCATTATATATTTTTGGGTTTGACAAGTTGGTTTCAAGCTTTGACAATTTACTTTTACAACCAAACTAGTCGGCGCAGTGTTTTGTTGACAAAAATTCAAATTACAGACAGAGGTTAAGAATCTGTTTTGTAAAAACTATTTTTACTTTCAACTATTAACTAAGACACTGATACACTAGGGTGCCTAGTTTAAGACAATGTTAAGTGAAATTTAAGTCTGTCAACAATGATCAATGATATTAAAAATTATTTCAAGACATCTTCTCAACACGGTAGCCTAGGGCTTGAAAATGGTTGTAGCTTTAATATTGACCAGAAATGTGAATGTGTGTAGGAAAAAACACCAGATTTATAGTAAAATAGTTTTTTAACAGGGAAACTAATTGACCCATCTAATTGAATTAGAGATGCAGTTATAAATGTTGCACAACGTGTGGGCTGAAATAGATCGTCTGGACATACATGTACAGCAAGAAATGGTGGCCATATTGAAGTTTATTAGCTACGGTATGTATAAAATCTTTTTAAAGGCAGGAATTCCACAAAATAAATAGTTTTCTCGTTTTCTTTTAATTTTATAATTAAACTCCACCATTATTTTATGGAACCCTGTAGGTATATTAGACTACAATTATTTTTTCAAAATACAACCATTCAAAGTCAAATACTGTTGCAAATTACTATTGTAAATTCTAATCCCAGCTCAGCTGAAGCTTAAGTCAACATATCAAATAAGGCCAATTAACATATCAGTTAGTGGACTGAGATTATCAGTTAAACACTTACACTAGGCTACTTATCATTTATTTGTTGGCTTATCATTGAATCATGAGGTCAATAAGTCTTAGTGGTTATAATCAAAGTAATAACAACAAGTCCAGTATATAGAATGTTACTAGTATTTCATCAGGTCATTGATGATTTGCTGACATCATAAAAGTTATTTACATAAATATATCCAGTTGGATTTTTTCTCTGGTGGTTAACTTAGTCCTAATTGGGTCTAAATGTGGTTTAGATGTTAAAATTGTTTTGAATGTCCTACGTAATTGTCCTCCTACAAGTTTAAAACTAACTAAACATACTGAAACACACAAAAAATGGACAAAGAATTCACCTAAAAATTTCATTTATTTATGAAAATCTTAAAACCGTTAACTTATTAGAAACAAAAAATAAGTTATACCAGGCTAGGTAAAATTTACGTAATTTTGGTTTTCTTTTCTTTTGTGTTTTTTTAGACTAATGATACATTACACTTTATATTAGTTACTAATTTTTTTTCAAAACACCAGTCAATACACTCTCTCATGTCAACGCTTTGTTGGATAGTGTTTAATTAATTGATTACTCGATAAATGGCATCTGAGTCCAGAGCTGATCCGTTCCAAAAGCGGACTAGAAAGCTAGATTTAAATACTGGATATTAATTAGTAGATTGGTACCTAATATAATACTGGGGTGAATATAAGGGGCGGGGCCGAGGGGGCCTGCCCCTCCACCAAAAAATAATGGACATAAAGAAAAAATAAGTACCATTACATGAATTATTTAGCCTATAATACATCCAGGGCCGATTTTGATTAACCAAATAGGCACGTGCCTAGGGCACGAGACAATTGGTTTTTTGTGGAGCGCCGTTAAGTTGGAAATAAAAATGGTTGTTGTATTTGCATGCGATAGTGGTAAACTTCTAAAAATTCCTCGTGGCCGTGTAGACATCGTAATTTTGTCTCCCGCTATCGCGGCAAAATTCTGACTGTTTCCCACGGTCATGATTATCGTTTTCCATGATCGCAGCAATATATGAACATATCCTGCGGTCGTGAGGAGATTATTGTCGTCTGCCGCAAATGAGACAAAATTTTTATCGTTTCCAGTGTTCATGTAGACATTATTATCATCTTGTGTGATCACAGTAAAATTCTGATAATCCCTCGCAGCCGTGAAGACATCATTATATCGTCTCCCACAGTCGTCTGAACATAGTAATCGTCTCCCGCAGTTGCGGCAAAATGGTAATCATCACCCACGGTCGTGTGAGATCGTCATCTTCTTCCACGAATGAGGCAAAATTCTAATCGTTTCCTGGGGCCGTGTGGAGATTATCATTGTCTAGCGTGATCGCGATAAAATTATGATCATACCTCACTGACATTATTTTATCTATGGAGGAGTCAGGTGTTGAAGGATGTGGCTGTATTGGGCACTACTCCCGAGGCAGCGGTGGATAGAGAAGAGTGGAGAAGCATCGTTGGCGAGGCCAAAAACCTTCTGAGTTTTCAATGGCCAAGGAGGTAAGGTAAGGTATATATTTGGTCCTCTTTGTTTCGCTTGCAGCAGTGACCGCTAGAGACCAGCATATCTACCAGCGACAGGGGAGGGGAGTAATGAAGAATTCAGTCAGTTCAGTGGTAGCCATTGTTATTATTGATTGTAATTTACATCTGTTCGACATATGATGTACTGAAATGTTAACGTTTTGCATTCGCACAAAAGAATAATTATAACCATAACTTATTAGGATTCAGGAGATAAATAAAACTATAAAATAAGATATCAAAATTAAAAATTTAGAAAAGGTACCTACTGTTTCAAAATTTAACAAATAGGCCTACCTAAAGCCTAATTTGATTTCTCTAAAGCCTTTGACTGTGTAAATCACAAGCTCCTCTTAGAAAAGCTAAGGGCCATAGGGTTTTCAAATGGTGTATTGGACTGGCTGGGATCCTATCTGTCAGACAGGCGGCAGTGTGTTGAGGTTGATGACTTACGATCTGACTGGGAGACAGTTACTAGTGGTGTACCTCAGGGGTCCATCCTTGGTCCTCTGTTGTTCGTACTATACATAAACGACTTGAGCTCAGTCCTCACAAACTGTAAATACCACATGTATGCTGATGACTTACAGATTTATACACATTTTTCACCCAAACAGATCAACGAAAGTGTTCAGAGAGTGAATGAAGATATTGAGAAAATCATTACTTGGACTAATAAACACGGACTCAGACTCAATCACGAAAAAACTAAACCTATCATAATTTGTCATCCACGGTTACGGAACTCAATTGACTTTCTCACGACAAATCCAATAAATATAAATGGAACAGCTTTGCTTTACTGTGACAAGGTCAAAAACCTAGGACTTACTATGAACTCGACACTTACTTGGGGCGATGCAGTCTTAGACATCCGTAAAAAGGTGTTTGCATCAATCCACACACTTAAAAAATTACAAAACTTTTTGCCAATGCACATAAAAATACATCTCGTCAAATCACTTGTCTTCCCCCACTTCACTTACTGCAACTCTGTGATCAATGACATGACTGTAAACCTCGCTGATGCTCTCCAACGCGCTCAGAATTACTGCTTGAGATTCATTTATGATCTGAGACGCAGTGAGCGTATCACGCCTTACTACATTAATTCTAAACTATTAAAGCTATGTGACCTTAGATCAATTAAAATCCTTTTGCTAACCTATTCAATAATAAAATCAAATTTTCCAAAATATTTTGTAGATGATTTTAGGTTTGTAGCTGAAGAAAGTGTTAGATTTTCACGCTATGCTTCATTGACTTTGCGTATGCCTCATCATAGGACTGCAGTTTACGACGGGGCGTTTGTTGTGACCGCTTGCCGACTTTGGAATGACCTCCCCTTAGCCATCAAATCCCTTGATAACCGTTCCCGGTTTGTGGCAGCGCTAAAAAATATGTATTTTGAACGTATGGCCATGGTTGGTTTGTCCTAGGGGCTTGTACGCGTGGTTGGTCACTGACAGATGTGCTTGGTGTGTGTGTGTGTGTGTGAGAGAGAGAGAGAGAGAGTGAGAGGGAAAGAGGAAGATTATTTTTGTACAGTTTAAAATGTAAGTTATTTTCTTTTGTTTAAGTTTCTGTATCCATGATTTAGATTTTGTTTTTGTTGTATATTAATGTAATTGGTAAAATATGTGTGATATATTTATGACAGGTTAAGTGTAAGAAAGGGCCATGTGGCCCTAACTTTTGCCTGGATAAATAAATAATATTTCATTTCATTTATTTCATTTCATTTCATTTCATTACCTCCTAGTCTAGGCTTCTGTTTCTTCAGATGAATGCTCACACGGTTGCACCGGGAATATAACTTTTTGCAATTAATTGAGAAAACATTCCTACACTAGATTGCTCAGAATGTACCTACCACATTGTTCTAATTCCTCTTAATTTATTATTCGTACAATATCGAGACTCAACATGCACAAATTTTGCTGCTCTGTCACTTCTCTGGCGTCGTTCTTGATGAGGACAATGGAAAAGATAAATGTAGACATGGCATTTAGCTGCAGATCTGCCGTCATTCCCCCTTAACCCTAGGACTGCCTTCCGCCGACTTGATGTCCGCCGACTTGATGTGTGCGCTCAGTGCCCGGGGTTAGTCAGCGGTTCAGACATTTTTTTTTTCAAACGCTTACTACGCAATGAAAATGATCCAGAAGCGTAATAATTTTGATACCGTTGGAAAGAAGACTTTTATTTTCTTATACAAACGAACCTCGTA